CTCCATCAGAAATCGACAGCCAGTGAAGCAATAAAAATCCAAAAAGTCTTCCAAGATAACATCTCAGGCAGGTGGATTAAGCTGGACATCAAATTCAAAGAAGAAGAAATGTCTGTCACAGGAATCTACGGCCCAAACGCTCCACAAGACAAAACCTCCTTCCTAGTCACGATCGAACAACACATACCCTCACTCACACCCACCATCATCATGGGAGACTGAAACTTAGTTCAGAATCCAAATCTTGACAAGATCTCTCTCTCTCAAGATCCCACACCCCAATCGAACAGCACAGATCTCAATGACTTTATGACCAGGAAAAACCTACTGGACCCCTATCGCCTCCTATATCCTGAAACTAAGAAATATCCATGCATCAGGAAAATCTCACAAGGGCGGACATCCTTCTCCAAAATAGATTTCTTCCTTGCATCAGACTCCCTATCATGGGCCGTTCAAGACTGTACCATACACAACAACCCATACCATAAGGGACTAGATCACAAGGCCATATCCTTAGCCATCAAACTCAACAAAGAGGGTTACTTAGAGAAAAGCTTCTACCGCTTTAATAACGCCCTCCTCACCAGCCAAACCTTCCAAGCTGAACTACAAACACTATTAACCTCATAAACACAACTACAACCCTACGACGATATACACATCACATTCCCCCAAATCATCAAAAACATCAGCGCAAAAACAACACAAATATCCAGAAGACTAGCCTCTCACAGAAAAGAAATAGAGGAGTCCCTAAGGAACGCAATAGACATAGCAGAACTAAACCTACAGAGACACCCTAACTCGGAATTCTATGCAGAACTACTCTCAAATTCTAAACAAGAGTTGACCGAATAGACTAAACTAAAACTCAACGACCTCCAATTAAGAGTCAGGCTGAAAGACTGGGAACTGAACGAAAGAATGACCAAATTCTTCTTCCAAAAGATCAAAGTAAACTCCATTCCAAAATGGAATGCTTACAGGACGAAAATGGTAACGCAACCACATAAATAACAAAACTAGTTACCATAGCTACCACCTTCTACAAAGACCTCTATACCTCCAAGACACCCAAAGGAGGCAACAACTCAACAAACAAAGCAAGGGAGAAGTTCTTGGCCCACCTAGACCAATCCATATCTCCAGAAACGACCAAAATGTTAGAAGAACCCATAACATTAAAAGAATTACACAAAGCCCTTAACGACCTCAAACCCAACAAAGCCCCAGGGAGAGACGGCTTCTCTAAGGAATTTTGGATGGTTGGATGGCACACGCTAGGTCCACTCCTCCTCAGCTTTCTCACCAGAGCATGAGAGGAAGAAACTCTAGGCCCAGAACTGAGTACAGGAGTGGTGAAACTCCTGCACAAAAAGGGTAACAAAGAGAACATAAGAAACTACAGACCCATCTCATTATTAAATGTAGCCTACAAAATCCTAGCCAAACTCCTAGGCACCAGAATAAACAAGATCACAGGAGGATGCTTCCACCTTGATCGGACAGGGTTCATACCAGGAAGACTCATCCTGGACAATGTAAGGTCTCTCTGTGAATCCACGAGAATAATCAACCAAAAACGGATCGCAGCAGCCATTCTCGTCTTCGACTTTGAGAAAGCATACGATCAAGTAAATTGGGACTTTCTCCAGGCCAACATGGAAAGAATGGGAGTAAGCCCTATCTTCCGGAAATGGGTGAGAATATTCTACAACGACGCACAAGGGATAGTTCAAGTCAACTTCTTCCTCTTTTACCCCTACCCAATGACAAGGTCTGTAAGACAAGGGGACCCACTAGCAGCACCAATCTTCCTTTTCGTTATGGAGGTCATCATCGCCTTCCTGAGAAAGGATAGATCAATCGAGAGAATAGGAAATATTACAGGCGAAAGAGGCCAACACCTCCACATCCCCACCACCCTCCTATTCACAGACGACCTTACAATATTAATTAGAGCAATAAACTCCTCCTTTCAAACATTGATAAGAGCAATGCAAGCATTCCAACTAGCCTCAGAAATGAAGGTCAACTGGACCAAGACAATAGGCTGGTGGACTGGAGACACCCCCCCTCCTACAAAACTAACCCCTTCAGGTCTTCAGTGGACAGATTCAGATTCACCAATCCGATTCGTGGGCATTAACCTCAACCTCAAAGGATGCCACCAATTTTCAGCAGCATCACTTTTGTCTTCAATGGTTAATAGGATGCACACCTGGAAAGCCACACACACTTCCCTATTAGGCAGGGTGCTGGCACTCAATAATTTCATCCTAGCAATGATGTGGTATTCTACCTCCATATGGTTCCCAGCCCCAGACTTCCAAAGTCAGTTGAGGAAAAAAGTTGCATCATTCCTATGGGCAGGCAGTCTGGACAAGGAACACTTTATTCACAAGGTTGCCTGACAGATAGTCACCAGCCCAAAAAGCAACGGGGGGCTTAGGTCTTATAGATCCAACCTGTCAAATACAGGCTTTACAAATCAAATGGGTCATAAGACTAGCCCTACAGGACAATCTACACTAGACCCCATTGACCCTAAACCACATCAGAGAACTCGCTCCTTCACTTCTCCAACCAACATGACAGGCCTCTTCTGGATTTTCAACAAGTTCTGGCCACTTCCGAAACGGAAACAAAGACGGTCCGATCAAACACGCCAGCAGAACACTAACGTCACCCCCCAGACTAGATCTCTCTGGGAGCAAATTCTACATACCCGGAGAACCATCTTCCCAGAGATCAGAGCAGCACCAAAGAAAAAAGACGTCCTTAGGCAACCCCTCTTCGGCAACCCACTGATTAATAACGACAAAAAGGAAAGCCTAACACTCTTAAAATCACAATCTAAATAGGGGCATTGGCTAGAAAAGGGAATATGGCAAATCAAGCACATTTGGGACGAACCAAACAAAACCTGGAAAACAGAAAGAGACCTACGAGAACAACTTCAGGGAATACATCACTTACAAACTAACTTAACTGACATCATAGACTGCATCCCCCTACATTGGCGAGCCCTACTAAAATCAAAACAAGAATGGCAACTACGAACCCCACAACAAGAATTGGATATGTTGTGACATACACACCCTAGAAGAACCAGGAAACCCGATACAAAGAGCAGAGCAAAAGGAGCTTTCAAAAGCAACAACCTGCAAAGAATCAAAATCTTAGAAGGAGATAGAAAAAAAGTCTTTAAACCCCATATTAACGTCTGCGACTTAGAGATTGATCCCACAGAATGGATATGGAGCTCCCCTTCCGGTTCCACCCTCATCTCCACCTCCTGCAAACTAACCGACTACACACCCAAACTAGGTTATCATCTTTTCACCAAACCCATCTCAATATCCAACACCATACGCAACAGATGGACAAAGGAGGAGCCACAATTAGCCAACACTCACTTCAACCTGCCCTGGGCTACAGTACTATCCACCACAAGACCGACTAAGCTAGCCAGCTTGAAATGGCTAGTAGCCTTTAGAGCAGTCCCAGTAAACAAATGGTTGGCCATCAGACGCAATCAAGGAAATAGATCAGAACAGGATTCCTGGTGCAAGGTATGCAAGCTCAATATCCCTGAATCCCTAAATCACTGTTTCATGGATTGCCCAAAGGCAAGATCCCTCTGGCAAGCCCTAGAATCATCGTGGTTTAAAATCTCAGACTCTCCCCTACTAATTAAACCCGCCACACTATTCCTCGATCTCAACTAATCACCCTCGCTCAAAGGATTCGAAGCCTTCCTCGCATCCCAAATGAAGAAAAGCACCCTATGGGCCATATGGAAAAACAGATGCGACAAAACCTTCGATGACCGATTCACCACCCCCGAAAACCCACTCATCATTATCCAACAACTAATAGACACCGAAGTTCACGCCCTATGGAAAAAGCAACTCAAGAATCTCCCTACTGACCCAGACAAAAAAAAACTAATAACCCAGAAATTCTCCTTCTCCAAACTGGGCAATGGGCTACGTGGCACAATTAACAATGAAAGACTAATTCTCAAGAATTGGCTAACCATCACACAGATATAAAGCTCCCACACAACCCCCACACCCCCCACACACATCAGCCCCAATCCACCCTATCACCATTTACCCACCACCGAACCATCTAAGACCCCACACCCCCCACCAGCCCTCCCCCCTCCCCCCATCACGCACCCCACACCGTCAACCGTCTGGCCCCACATTAACCCACCCCACGACAATCTACCCGCTGCACCCCCCCACCCCTCCCTCCCCACTCCCTCCTTACAATACTCAGTACACCACGATAAACTCACATTCCTCAAACCAGCCATTGCCCCAAAACACAACACCCCCCCCCACCAAGTTCACCCTCAACTTAAGCCAAACAGCCCCCCTCAAGAGACATCTAGATCTCAGACTATATCCTCCAACCTCATCAAGGTACGTTACTGTTACGAACCCCGAAGTTAAGTCAAAGGCACAGACGTACCAAGCCAGGGTTTAGGGTTTTAGCAACAATCACGCGACAAATCCAGGTTCCCAGTAAAACAGGCTAACTTAGGCAGGGGTGAAGGGTGGTACATGCTTCCCCAGGGGAGTAATCGATGTCGTCCTTCGGGCCTCCACGCCACAAGGGGGAGGAGCGTGAGTGTGTATACATTGTAATCTTTTCAGACTTGCCGGTGGAATAGGAACCGGACTGACGCTCCCCAGAACGGATAAGGAGCCGGAACCGTAAGGTTCCGTTTTAAAAAAAAAAAAAAAAAAAAAAAAAAAAAAAAAAAAAAAAAAACAAGCATATCTTGCCACCTTCTGTGGGCAGATAACGCACGCTCATGATGATGGTATCGGGCTGGAAATATAGGTTGTACACACTCATTATGAGGGTGCATTGTCAACCTTGTCGCTAACTCTTCAACAAACTAAGTTACACAAGGAAACAAACAAAATTGAGCTGGAGGATGGGGAATTGTTGAACTAGGTCTCCATAATTGTAGTCACCTGCAGAAGAGTGCAGGCGTTGTTGGCATGCTCGATTTGACGTCGAACCAAGTACCCCCTATAAAATGCCTGGATACGAATCGCGGACTCTCGCTGAGGGTCAATGGTGGCAGCGATCTCTCTGAGCTTCGACCTGCCATAGACTGCCCTCAGATCGTCACGGCACCCATCCTTAGCCGCAGTCCATTTGCCAAATGCAGTTGCAGTTGTCGCCGCCATGATAAATTAAAAATGACGGCGGTTATCGTCAAACAACTGATTATGCATGCGATGAAGTACGTGCACCCTGACAGATGTTGGGAATGCTGCAGTGGACTTGAGTGAGTCTTTATCCATCAGTCAAATGCATCCTGCACAGACTGTCGCGGTTCGACCTCCTGATCAGTCGGTGGAAGTTCGACAAAACAATCTGGCACAGTCATACTTCTTTTTGAGGAGATGTATATAGCAAACATGACAACACACACACACACACACACACACACACACACACACACACACACACACACACACACACATGATTTTTATCAATTATCATTTTTATTTTTAAATTAATGCAAGGAGACCCTCACTCGTGCATCATTCATTCCATGTACCGGCAGCCCTAGCCCAGTTGGTAAACCCATGAACTGTTGACATACAGACCCAAGTTTGAATCCAGATGGAACCCGTTGAATGGAATAGAATCATTAAGCTTGTCATATTCACTTCTATCTCATATTTTTCTATATGTATTGACGTGTATATTTAATCTTTCATTAATTAAAACTGTGTCTTCAAAGTTATATCCTTCTCAGAATTATCCGGGGCCGGTCAGTTCAAGATGATATCTCACGGTCGTCGCCCTTTGCATGTGAGCGTGCAGATATGGTGGTCACACTAAACGCATGAAAATCAAGTTGTCCGTCCTCTTCGAGAATCGCCACACAGTTCAACGGAATTTCAGAGTTACAGCCGTCAGACACCACATACACACAGCACAAGTTATAGATGGTGCAGCTATGGTGGATCAACCCAACAAATATGCTCACAGACTTGCAAATTCGAGATAACAGGCCTGGCTCCATTTCACCATGATCGAGTTCAGTTTGAAATTGCAGTGAATCTCCCCACAATGCAAATGCTGTCACTCACTGCTACAAAAGATGCAGGTCAGAGTTCAATGCAGTCTTCAGGTGCTACAATCTCTACTACCACCAGCATGTCTCCTCCTCTCTTCTACAAAGGATCTCGAACATCGAAGTGATGTTCCCACTCGATGGCTTACTCACCCACCAAGCAAAAGCTCTCTCCTACAAACACCCGATACAACAGCGCGATCCCACTCTAAAAGGAACAGAAAACAACAGCTATCAGACGGCAACTCGATGGCCCTACTACTCCAGCTATGGCTGTCTTCTTCACCACACAGCGCACTGCTTGTTTCCACAAACCAGCACCACGCAGACTAAGCATTCCGAAAACGAATACTGCAGTTTTGTTTTCCGGGGGGCACTTCCCCCGTTGCCCTTGGAAGCCTCTAGATACTTGCTGGAAGCACACTTACTGCACGGACGGACTTCATGTACACAAAAGAGCAGGTCTCAGGTTCCAGGCTCCACAAGCACAGTCAATGCTTACAATAGGTTATACCAACAAGGGCACAGGTAAGTCAACACCAGCTCCCCGGTTCAAACTCCAACAGCATCACACAGGCACACAACATAGCAGAAAAGGCGACAACAATAGCAACAGGTCCTGCTATGGCTGGTTGTACACCTGGCAGTTCCGATGCTGCAGCGGTTGGCCGATAAGAGCCGCTACAAGGATAGTGTGTGCCCCAGTTGCAGGAGACATTGTCAAGGCCCCAGTTGTTCCTCCAGTGCCCCTCTGTAGCAGCCTTTTGGGAGCAGTGGCACCAGCTGGTCCGGCAACAAAATCTACCGTGGCCAGAGGAGCATGATAGTTGGGTTCCGTTGGGCTCCCTGATAGGAGCGACCACGCAGGGGCTGCTGGGGAATCAAATCCGGGTAGGAGAGACCATAAGAGCTGCAGCCTGATGGGCGATTTGGTGTTGCCGGAATGAAGTAGTAAGGGAGCAGCGAACATCTGCACCCCCGAAAGTCATGGCATACCTACAGGAGGGCTTGAGGGCAGCTCTTCAAGCAGAATTCAACAAAGACATGAGGAGGAGCCCACCGGACACCCCTGTCCAGCAGACTACCATCGGCCAAGTATGGGGTCCGTGTGTGGCCCTCGTGCAAGTGGACGTACATTCCCGGAGGGCGTAGGCACAGTAGACTAGAAACCAGCAGTAGTAGGATAAAGAGGGGGGGGGGGGCTCAAGGGAGGACAATGTAGTAGACTGTGCAGTACGAAACAGGATATGAAGAGAGCACAAGACGGCATTATGGGGGAAAATTGGGTGTGATGGGATACGAAGAGGCTATAAAAACATCACTGACACCACTGACAAGGTAAATAGTAGGACGACTATCATGATGTGGAAATTTAGCATTACAGGGATATCCCTGGGGTCCACATGCTATGGGCTTGATGAAACCAGACCGAAGAAAGAAGGAGATGGAATACCAAGCCCTACCAGTCATACGGCGATGCAGGGCTTGAATACTGCAGGAATCAGCTAAAAGGGGCAGAAATGAGAAAGCAGTACAGATGCACGAGTGAAGAAAGATGGTATCCAAGGCAACTCAGATTTGATGAAAATGATGCAGGAGACGAGGGGCGAAGGAAAGGCGGGAGCCAAAGGAATTTAGATTACGAGAGATGCAGGGGTTGAATACTGCGGGAATCAGCTAAAAGGGGCAGAAATGAGAAAGCAGTACAGATGCACGAGTGAAGAAAGATGGTATCCAAGGCAACTCAGATTTGACGATAATGATGGAGGAGAAGAGGGGCGAAGGAAAGGCGGGAGTCAAAGGAATTTAGATTACGAGAAATGACGGAGGGGAAAGGAGAGGGGGGGGAGGGGGCAGTGGAGTTTATGGGAGGGAGAACCACCAGTCCGTCAAAATGAACATTTTTTATTTTTTGAACGAAATTGAGACCGAGTTTTTTGGCCGAAAACTTGTCTAAATTTGCTGCTCCTGGGGCCTCGTCCCACTAGCATCGCGTAAAATGGTGTGTGGCGGTCGTTTCTTTGAAAAAAATATAAAGAATCCTTTTCTTTTTTTTTCTTTTTTTTTTAAGAATCCTTTTTTTTTTTTTCAGAAATGCAAAGAAAACAACGGCAACGAAAAATACAAAGATCAGTCTGACATCCACATCATGACAGTACATCAAGTGCATACACTTCACGGGTGTCCCCGTTCGACAGAGCAACCCTCCAAGTTGGGCAATGCCTTCGAGGTACATCTGAATGCGACCGGCCCCCCAGCCTCTTCGGATGCATCTGGCCGTACCGTGTCACCATGTGCATGGTCTTCTCTGTTGTTGAAACCATAAGGCCTCCCGTAGAGTGGAAACAGTATAGCCGGTACCTCACACCCCTTTCCATTTGTGGCAAGGCCGGCTGGTGTTCGTTGTGGTGTTAATACGATTGCGGAGGGGATGTATGGTGGTTGCCAAGCGCCTTCAATCAGCTGTTCGTATCATGCGTTGCGCACGGGAGCGGGGGCCCGGTCACGCATGTCCACGGCTAGGTACCGTCACGAGGTGGGACTCGTGCAACTCTATACTTTAATTTTGCCTCTCCCCACAACGCACGGCTCGCTATGTTTGTCCATTAACGAGGAAGGCTGTGAGGCCGGCTATTGGGGGTTGCGGAGGGTGGTTTAATTGCTATTTGGGGTGAGGGGGGGGGGGGGGGGGGGAGCGTACTGCCATCTCACAGTGCAGCACCTTAGAAAGAGACAGCGAGAAGAGCTTGCTGTTGCAGTGACGGCCATCGCCGGTAGGATGGCCGAGGATGCGTTTCAAAGCTTGGATGTGCTGCTGGGTTCCCGGACAATGAGACCTCTGCTGTTGGGGCCTGAGGTTGATCACACCCTGTTAGGTGGACGAGAAGACGATGACGAGCACAGGAGTGGATGGCGCAGTCTACTTTGACTGTTGCCAGCTATTGTTGAAATCTGCAATCTTTTCCAAGGCGTTCGCCTAGGTGGGGGGTCATGCGGTGTTCAGGTGGATTATGGAACAATCTTGAGATCGCCGATGACGCCGAGAACGATCATTACATAGGGCTGCTGCACATACGTCGGTCAACATTCAATAAACTGTTGCGAAAGGTCGTTCCACTTCTCGAGAAGGAGGTGACAAGATTCAGGTTATTGTTGCCTCCAACAAAGAAACTCACGTACAATATCCATAGATGTGCCCACGGTGACTCTCACTGGCACAGTTGCTCAGCATATGGGATGGGCAAAACGAGCGGGTTGTGAGCCGTCAGAGAAGTGGCGGATGCCATTCATGCATCGTATCCGAATGTTGTTAGCTTTGGGGGGTTCGAAGACCGTCATCACCAAATGCAGAAGTTTGAGGGGTTGGGTTTTCCAAATTGCTGGGGCTGTATTGACTGCACCCATGTGTATGTGGATAAACCCCGATCAAAGGGTGGCGACGACTATTGCTCCGGATCGAATAACCGGTTCTCGAACGTTGGGCAACTGGTGATCGATTCGGAGCTCAAGATCCTTGATTTCTGCTATGGCTTTCCGGGGACTGTTGGGGATGCACGTGCTTTGAAAAACACGTCATTGTACAGGCGAGCCCTGAAGGGGTCTCTGTTCGTAGACGATCCAGATGATCCATTTGTGGTCGAACGGCCTTCCATCCCCGGTGTGCCCGGCGGGTACTTGCTCGGCGATGGCGAGTATCCGAATCTTCCTTGGCTTGTCATTCCATACGGCCGTCAACCACGACTCACGCGGGCGATGCAGCAGTTCGACAGCCTTCATAAAATAGTCAGGTCTTGCATGGAGCGATTCTTCAAGGTGTTCAAGATGCGCTTCCAAATGTTCCACCGGCCACATATTGTTGACATTAGGAGGGAGAGGTTGGAGTTCCGCGCCTGTTGTATCCTCCATAACGTGCTTCAGGATTGGGGTGATATACCCAAAGCGGACGACGAAGTGAGCGATGCTTCGTCGGGTGGGACCTGTCCACATCCGGATGTTGACAGGCGTGTGGACAGTTGTCCACTTGAGTCCATGTTCGGTTGGGAACGTGGGCAGGCCGTGAGAGACGCACTGTGCACCGAGGTCCTCTGTTTATGGGAAGTCCGGTGGAATGCTTGACAGGAAATAGTAGGTCTGTTTATATTGCTATATTAGGCTGTTGGGCGAAAACATTGTTGGTGGTGCATTACAGTACTTAGCTGGGAGGTTGCATGGGTGCAGCGTTGGTCGGTGCCTAGCGTTGTGTTACGTTT